TGTGAGGCTCCTCTTGATAATGTTATTAACCTCCTCATGTCTTGCAATCTTTCCCTCGGATTTACGGCACACAAGACCATGGTACCCGAATCGGTCTGCTGCTTCACTGCCAAAAATACACTTGTGTTCGACGAGAATAGGGGCGGCAAGTCGAAGGGCAACACCGATGCAGATGGTCTGTGGGTCGAGGCGTGTGCCAAGGCTGGAGTTGGGAACAGCCAACAGAAAATCCCCTGCATGAGGTGCTCTCACTGCCAGGAGGCGGGCTCTATCCTTCCCTGACACACACTGAAGCATTGTTGAGGCTATATTTTCCATTATTGGACCATCCCAGTGCGATTGTTTGTAGTTGTTGGGGGGAGCAGGTTTGGTTTCAGAGCCCGTTAGATTATCCCAGATCATTGCTCCGTCAATGAACTTTTGGTCCTGGACTCCAATCTTGTCCCTAAGAAGTTCAGGAAGAATCGCTGCTACAAGCTCTCTGGATGCAATACACGAGGACAGAAAAGCAGGTAACGCAATCTGTGATGACTTGCGGACACCAATGCCTCCTAGTCTGACTGGAAGTGTAGCTTGGTTCCACTGCCCGTTGTGATGTAGTCCAGCTGGGCTTGTGAGGTCTCTGGGGAGACCTAATTTAACCAATTATATGGTCACACCTTGCCTTGGCAAACGTCTGTAGCCACGCCCACGTCTGAGGTCTTTTGTTCTTGACGCCTCAGACCTAGGCGTCAGGTCGTACACATGGTTGTGGAGGGTGCTTGGACCACCATAAAAGCCCAAGGAAGAGCATGATCAGGAGATTCGAGCGGAGCTGCTGCTGGGGTGCAGAGCTCCTGAGCAGAGATTCGAGCGGAGCTGCTGCTGGGGTGCAGAGCTCCTGAGCAGAGACTTCGAGCGGAGCTGCTGCTGGGGTGCAGGGCTCGGGAGAAGGCTGCTGAAGTCTCTGGAGGAGACTGTTGGAGGCATTGGGCAGAGTACTGGCTTGGCACGTTACTCGTGCTGTATAGGTCTTGGGACCTGTGGCCTAGTTCCTGTAGTGAACTGTCCTCTGTGCTATATTGTAAGTTATATTCATTTTCGTCAAGTTGATTGTGTTCCCTGTCTCACTGCTTATGTGTACCACCCCATTTATCTAAACCCCAATGATGTATTCCTGTTCCCAGGAATACTGTCATATTCGCGCAGTATAGGGTTATCATATGAAGTTGCACATCTTAGGAAATATGTCAACCTGGGCAGACTCAAGCACTTTGTGAGAAGGTACAAGGCATCGTGGGTGTCCAGATTGCCTATTCGTTGTTCCATTCTCCTTAACTCTTCCAATTTCTTCCTGAGAATTGTGTCAATGGCATTGCTTCCCAGAGGTGCTCCTAGCAAGACACTATTTGTGGGGGCAATGACTGCTGCTCCTGGTAGTTTTGATCTCACTGCATTTATCACTTGGATGGATTCAGAATGAGACCCATTTCCTGTCCCCCGTGTCATTACCTGTGTAAGGTCATGTAGGAGGGACTCTTCTGTACCTGCTAGTGTGCCATCATCTAGGAACCAGATGTTTAGCTCGCTGGTCAGTCTGACTGTGATTTCCCTAACTGCTATACAGAAGAGAAATGGTGCAAGAGGATCTCCTTGTTGGATACCCTCCGATGATGTGATTTCATGCTCTCCAAAAAGAAGCATTGTTTCCTTGCTATACCCAGCTGAAACAAAAGGGAAGAGACCAGGGAAATGTTCTTGCACTGCTGCTAATACCACGTCTCTTTTCAGGAGATTGAACGCATTCTTGAAATCTAATTTTACCACTGCATTGTCCTCAGGCAGGTTGTTGATATACGCCCTTGTTGTATGAACCGCTGCTTCACTTCCTTGAGAGACCACGAAGTCAAGCTGGTTTGGTTGAAGCATCATGGCTGCCTCTGCACGAATACTTCGGACAACAGCTTTGGATACAAGGCGGCGTAACGTGTTGCCTACTGCAATTGGCCGAATTCCTCCATCCATATATATATATATATATATAATATAATATATATATATATATATATATATATATATATATATATATATATATATATATATATATATATATATATATATATATATATATATATATATATATATATATATATATATATATAATATATATATATATATATATATGCAATAAGATCACAGTAAACAGGTGATTTCAAAATATGCAAAACAACCACTCTGAAAGAATAGAGAAATTCCAAGCGCTTTCGTGACTACTCACATTATCAAGGAACTATGAAAGTAAAGCATCCAAGGAAGCTATATAAGATAAACACCATTTCCTTGGAAAATTAAATAGCTTAGCCCATTCTATAAACTTTACTGTTGAGTTTGAAGAAAATAACTCATTGCCTTTTCTAGATGTTTTAATTATTAAGGGTAATAATGAATTCAAATTTAAAATTTACAGAAAACCTACAAATAACTGTTCCTATGTCCACTATTATTCCTCGCATCAAGATAAAGTCAAACTGTCTGTGTTCTCATCAATGTTTTTGAGAGCTTTACGAAATTGTAGTCCTGAGTTCATAGATGAGGAAATATCCAAAATTTATGATATAGGTAATGATTTAAAATACCCAAGAAATGTAATTGATAAATCTTTTAAAGTTGCTAGAAATACTTTTTTTACAATCCAAAAAGGGACAACCAGCCTTATTCAACTAAAAATATGTTGGTTCTCCCTTACCATGAAAACTTGGTTGATATGCCTTCTCTTCTTAAGACTTTTAATATTAAAGTTGTATTCAAAAATCTTGATACAGTAAAAAAACTTTTGATAAAGAATTCCCCCCAAAATGCTGATGGATGTGTCTATAAGATTCCTTGTAAAATTTGCGATAAAGTTTATTACGGTCAAACTGGTAAAAATCTCGAACTAAGATTAAAACAACATAAATATAGCATTAGAACTGGACAAGATTCCAATGCTCTATTTATTCATGTAAGAGATTTTAACCATCCAATTGATTTTCAAAAAGTTGAGAAAGTAGTATCAAGCAAGTCCATGGTCGACAGGAATATAATTGAATCTTGTTTCATAAAAAGCAGTTTTGACAATAATATGAATATTTCCTTTGGTTTATATAAATTAGATCCATTTATAATTAATAGAATTTGGGAAGAATTTAATAATACACTGGACAAATAATAATTTTTAAATTTTCTTGGGTAGAGTAGCTTGGGGGTGAGTTGTGCAAAGGACCTATCCAAGTTGGGTCGGCGCGCGTCACGTGTTTAACCGTTGTGGGATCTGATAGTGAGGTGCTGGCCGGACCCCTTATATAGCTTCCTTGGATGCTTTACTTTCATAGTTCCTTGATAATGTGAGTAGTCACGAAAGCGCTTGGAATTTCTCTATTCTTTCAGAGTGGTTGTTTTGCATATATATATATATATATATATATATATATATATATATATATATATATATATATATATATATAATATATATAATATATATATAATATATATATACACACACACAAACATTACTTACATTAAAAACAGTGGTACAGTTTTGGAACGTCATGTTGATGAGTAGCAGGAAGAGAGCTCCATTGATATTAAAGACTCCTAAGTCATTCATGTTCTGTCCTCGGTATAATACTCCCACCAACACTGCCAAGGTCTGTAACACATAACAATGGTCATCAGCCTACTTCAGTAAACTTTAATTTACATTACTTATATTTTTAATAAAATGAGATGCCTTATTGTTCATGTAACTTGCTTAACGAGAGAATCACAAATGCAGTATAATGTGATCCTTTATTGACAACGTTTCACCCACACAGTGGGCTTTTTCAAGTCACACACGGATCTACCTGGGGTTGGAAGGTACGGGAGTATTTATAGTCATGTTCAGAATGTTGAGGTCAGGTGGAGAATGCTGCATCTGATGATCTACCGGGTGGGGTTATAGAGTCTTGGGTAGCTAGGCAGGGGTATTGGACAAGTTGTGAGTAGACCTTCTGCAGTGTTCTATGTTCTTATGTGGGATAGCGATGAAGAAGTTTCTTGGCGAGTGGTTCAGCTATGTTATAGAAGCCATTGTTCTGGTTGAAATTGTTGGTTATAGAGATAAGCGATGATTCCAGGATTCTTCTGTATTGAGTGTTGTCTTCTGTGGCTATAAGTCTTGAGTTTCTGTAGTTAATTAAATGGTTGTGTGAATTGCGATGTTGTACACAGGCATTCCTTGTATCGTCAGTCCTGCTTGCATATTGGTGTTCTGAAATACGTGTTTGGAGGTCTCTTGCCTAGCTACCCAAGACTCTATAACCCCACCCGGTAGACCATCAGATGCAGCATTCTCCACTTGACCTCAACATTCTGAACATGACTATAAATACTCCCGTACCTTCCAACCCCAGGTAGATCCGTGTGTGACTTGAAAAAGCCCACTGTGTGGGTGAAACGTTGTCAATAAAGGATCACATTATACTGCATTTGTGATTATATTTCCATTGTGTCGGTATTTTATACCATTTATTTCCATTGCTTAACGAGAACTTCCAGCGATCAAAGGTATTTAATGATTATTCATTAATAATTTATATTAAATGCAGAAGAAAACTGAATGCAAATTTATTAATATTATCTAAATAAAATTCATCTGCTTTACTCACCAGGAGCTGAAAGAAGCGGATGCGAACTAGGTAAGGTTCACGTAGGACCTCGAGCCAGGAGCGCCATAATACAGCACAGAACTGACTTACCCACGATGCCTTATATGGTGAAGCGTTCTTTGTTTGGAAGTGAGTGGAAGTATCCTGTATGGCGACATTGTAAATAAGTTACTATACAATATAAAATATAATATAAATATATATATATATATATATTATATATAATAATATATATATATATATATATATTTTATATATATATATATATATATATATTACATGTCGTGCCGAATAGGTAAAACTTGCGATTTTGGCTTAAGCAGCAACACCCTGCATGCATGAGCTTTTCTGGCCACTGCAGCCAGTGTGTCAACCATCGCTCTATTGCTCTATTGCCTTGGCCTCCTGTTGCTCTGTGGTGGGTTATACATCACTTCAATTATCACCTTGGGACCTCCAGAGTGAAGTGTTCCCGCTTTGTAATCGCTTGCTTCTCCGCTGTCTCCTCTCTCAAGCTCATCAAAATTCCATCGGTTTTTGATCAACAGTGCCACTCCTCCACCCCCCTGTTACCTCTGTCTTTCCTCAGAATCTGGTATCCCGTTGGAAAGATGGTATCTGTTATCATACCTGTAAGCTTGGTTTCTGTGAGAGCTATGATGTCCGGTGATGCCTCTTTGACTCTTTCGTGCCACTCCTCCCACTTATTTGTTAGTCCATCAACGTTTGTGTACCATACCTTCAGTTTCCTTTCCAACACTGTGGTTTGGGGGTCCTGTGAGAGTGGGAGACCTGGTAGCATACTGTGGGATTCTATAGCTGCGTGTTGGGTGGAAGCTGTGAGTATGGATTGTAGTTTGTGTTGGGATGGTGTGATAGGTTGTGGGGTTCTGATGATAGTTCTGTGTGTGCTTGCCCTTGCTGCTCTGTCCAGCTCTGATTGACCTCTGCTGGTTCCATCTTTGTCTCCTTTCCTAGCTCCTTTCGCTTTTTTGTCCTCTCCCTCAGCTGCTGTCATTCTGTTGTGTTCTGTCTCTGTCTAGGAACACCCTCTTGTACTCTTCCGAGTATTTCAACCGTGGTTTCTCTTGGAGGATCCTGTTCCACACTGTTTCTGTCCTGAGAATCAGTTTGATTGGTCGTTTTCCCCCCTTCAAGTACCATCCCCCCCTATTCTCTGAAAATTTATAATCTTGTCCATGTCTTCTTCACCTATTTCCGTGATGTTCACAATCTCCTTTCTTTCTGCCTGTTGTCTGTCAGTGTGTGTCCTTTCCTCTCTCTCCTGAAGCCCATGGATAAACACTGATTTTGCCCTTTCCTCCTCCCATTGCCTCTTCCTCTGTAATTCTGGTTCCTGTCTGTATGTGGTCATTTTCTCCCTTGTTTTTTTTCCAGTTGCTCTTGGTAGCATGGTTGTGCCTCAGCATTTGACCTATCACTCTCTCCATCTGCACCCAGCTGCTCTCCCCTTTCACTCCTTGGCCTTTCTTGGCAGGCTGATATGACCTTGGCATAATTCATATATTCTTTCTGTTCGGCCTCTCAGCTTCATATGCTGTGTCTTCTCTGGTCAATGTCCCTGTAACTTGCTTCAGCCTGTTTACCTCATCTTCTAGGACTCTTATCCTGGCTACTGCAGTTTCGACTTGCGCCTCCCACTTCTTCTCCTTCTCCAACCTCTTTTCTAATTTCACAGAAATCTCTGTCTCCATTTTTTTCAGAAAGCTCTTCTAATTTTCTCTCTCAATCTTGTTCCATTCTTTTCCATTGCTCCTCCATCCACTCCTCCCTACCAGAACCATTCTCATCTGATCCCTGGTTTCTTCGAGTCCCCCATCATTTTCTTTTCTTTTCCTTTTTCCCTTTTCTTTCCTTTCTTTTTTCTTTTTTTGAAAGAGAAAAGAGTGAGAGAGAAAGAGAGAAGAGGGAGAGAGAGAGAGAGAGAGAGAGAGGAGAGAGAGAGAGAGAGAGAGAGAGAGAGAGAGAGAGAGAGAGAGAGAGAGAGAGAGAGAGAGAGAGAAGGGAAAGGTAGAAGGAAAGAGAGAGGGGGGAGTGAGAAGGGAAAAGGGGAGAGAGAGAGAGAGAGAGAAGAGAGAGGGGAGAGAGAGAGAGGGCAAAGAGAGGGAGAGACAGGGGGAGAGACAGGGGAGAAGGGGGAGAGTTGGGGAGATGGAAGAGAGAGATGGGAGAGAGAGGATAGGGGGAGAGAGAGGGAGGAGGGGAAAGAGAGGGGAGAGAGAGAGATGGGAAATGGGAGAGGGGAGAGATAATGAGAGGGGGAGAGAAGTTAGAGGGGAGGAGATGTTAGAGGGGGGAGGTGTTAGAGGGAAAGAGATATTAGAGGGGAGAGATGGGAGAGGGGAGAGCTGGGAGTGGGGAGAAAGATAGGTAAAGAGATAGGTAGAGAGAGAGATAGGTAGTAAGAAAGATAGGTAGAGAGAGGTAGAGAGATAGTTACTGAGAGAGAGAGAGAGAGAGAGAGAGAGAGGGATAGTGGATAGTGGAATGTTAGAGGGAGGGTTATCAGGTCAGTTAACAGGAAGGTGTAAAATCCTGAGTATGCGTGTGTACTACAGCTTTTACAAGTGCCTGACCGCTTGTTCCTGTGTGTGTGTGTGTGTGTGTGTGTGTACTCACCTATTTGTACTCACCTATTTGTGGTTGCAGGGGTCGAGTCATAGCTCCTGGCCCCGTCTCTTCACTGATTGCTACTAGGTCCTCTCTCTCCCTGCTCCATGAGCTCTATCATACCTTGCCTTAAAACTATGTATGGTTCCCGCCTCCACTACGTCACTTTCTAGGCTATTCCACGGCCTGACTACTCTATGACTGAAGAAATACTTCCTAACATCCCTTTGATTCATCTGAGTCTTCAACTTCCAATTGTGACCTTTTGTGTCTGTGTCCCTTCTCTGGAACATCCCGTCTTTGTCCACCTTGTCTATTCCGTGCAGTATTTTATATGTCGTTATCATGTCTCCCCTGACCCTCCTGTCTTCCAGTGTCGTCAGGCCGATTTCCCTCAACCTTTCTTCGTAGGACAATCCCCTTAGCTCTGGGACTAGTCTTGTTGCAAACCTTTGCACTTTCTCTAATTTCTTGACATACTTGACCAGGTGTGGATTCCAAACTGGTGCTGCATACTCCAGTATGGGCCTGACGTAAATGGTGTACAGAGCCTTGAACGATTCCTTACTGAGGTATCAGAACGCTATCCGTAGGTTTGCCAGACGCCCGTATGCTGCATCAGTTATCTGATTGATGTGCTCCTCAGGAGATGTGCTCGGTGTTATACTGACCCCCAGATCTTTTTCCTTGAGTGAGGTTTGCAGTCTTTGGCCACCTAGACTATATTGTGTCTGCGGTTTTCTTTGCCCTTCCCCAATCTTCATGACTTTGCATTTGGCAGGGTTAAACTCAAGGAGCCAGTTGCTGGACCAAGCTTGTAGCCTGTCCAGGTCTCTTTGTAGTCCTGCCTGATCCTCGTCCGATTTGATTCTTCTCATTAACTTCACATCCTCTGCAAACAAGGACACTTCTGAGTCTATCCCTTCCGTTATGTCGTTCCCATCCACCAAAAACAGCACAGGTCCTAGGACTGACCCCTGTGGAACCCCGCTTGTCACAGGCGCCCACTCTGACACCTCGTCACCTACCATGACTCGTTGTTGCCTCCCTCTCAGGTATTCTCTGATCCATTGCAGTGCCTTTCCTGTCATGTGTGCCTGATCCTCTAGCTTTTACAGTAACCTCTTGTGAGGAACTGTGTCGAAGGCCTTGCAATCTACAAAAATGCAGTCGATCCACCCCTCTCTCTCTTGTCTTACTTCTGTCACCTTGTCATAAAACTTCAGAAGGTTTGTGACACAGGATTTTCCTTCCCTGAAACCGTGCTGGTTGTCGATTATACACTTGTTTCTTTCCAGGTGCTCCACCACTCTCCTTCTGATGATCTTCTCATGACTTTGCATACTATACACGTTAGTGACACAGGTCTGTAGTTTAATGGATGTTTTGAAGATCTTTGTTAATAGCACACACAGCATCTCTGCTCCCTCTCTAAGGACCCACAGAGAGATATTGTCTGGTCCCACCGCCTTTGAGGTGTCAAGTTCACATAGCAGCTTCTTCACCTCCTCCTTGGTTATGTGTAGCTCATCCAGCACTTGCTGGTGTACCCCCCTGTTCTGATTTCCTGGAGTCCTACTGGTTTCCACTGTAAATACTTCTGCTAATCTCGTGTTGAGCTCCTCACATACCTCTCGGTCGTTTCTTGTGAACTCCCCATCACCCTTCCTCAGTCTGATTACCTGGTCCTTGACTGTTGTTTTCCTCCTGATGTGGCTATACAACAGCTTCGGGTCAGACTTGACTTTCAATGCTATGTCATTTTCATATTGTCGTTGAGCCTCCCTTCTTATCTGTGCATATTCGTTTGTGTGTGTGTGTGTGTGTGTGTGTGTGTACTCACCTATTTGTGGTTGCATGGGTCGAGTCTTAGCTCCTGGCCCCGCCTCTTCACCGGTTGCTACTGGGCCCTCTCTCTCCCCGCTCCATGAGCTTCATCAAACCTCGTCTTAAAACTGTGTATGGTTCCTGCCTCCACTACGCCATTTTCTAGGCTATTCCACTGCCTGACAACTCTATGACTGAAGAAATACTTCCTAATATCTCTCTGACTCATTTGTGTCTTCAACTTCCAATTGTGGCCTCTTGTTTCTGTATCCCCTCCCTGGAACATCCTGTCTTTGTCCACCTTGTCTATTCCACGCAGAATTTTATATGTCGTTATCATGTCTCCCCTGACCCTCCTGTCCTCCAGTGTCGTCAGGCCGATTTCCCTTAATCTTTCTTCATAGGACATTCCCCTTAGCTCTGGAACTAACCTTGTCGCAAACCTTTGTACTTTCTCTAGTTTCTTGACGTGCTTTATCAAGTGCAGATTCCAAACAGGTGCTGCATACTCCAGTATGGGCCTGACATACACGGTTTACAGTGTCTTGAACGATTCCTTACTAAGGTATCGGAATGCTGTTCTCAGGTTTGCCAGGCGCCCATATGCTGCAGCAGTTATCTGATTGATGTGTGCTTCCGGAGACGTGCTCGGTGTTATACTCATCCCAAGATCTTTCTCCTTGAGTGAGGTTTGCAGTCTTTGGCCACCTAGCCTATACTCCGTCTGCGGTCTTCTGTGCCCTTCCCCTATCTTCATGACTTTGCTTTTGGCAGGATTAAATTCGAGAAGCCATTTGCTGGACCAGGTGTCCAGTCTGTCCAGGTCTCTTTGAAGTCCTGCCTGGTCCTCATCTGATTTAATTCTCCTCATTAACTTCACATCATCTGCAAACAGGGACACTTCTGAGTCTAACCCTTCCATCATGTCGTTCACATATACCAAAAATAGCACTGGTCCTAGGACCGACCCCTGTGGGACCCCGCTCGTCACAGGTGCCCACTGTGATACATCATTACGTACCATGACTCGTTGTTGCCTCCCTGTCAGGTAATTCTCTGATCCATTGCAGTGCCCTTCCTGTTATATGCGCCTGATGCTCTAGCTTCTGCACTAACCTCTTGTGAGGAACTGTGTCAAAGGCCTTCTTGCAGTCCAAGAAGATGCAACCAACCCACCCCTCTCTCTCGTGTCTTACTTCTGTTATTTTATCATAAAACTCCAGAAGGTTTGTGATACAGGATTTGCCTTCCATGAATCCGTGCTGGTTGGCATTTATACTCTTGTTCCGTTCCAGGTGCTCCACCACTCTCCTCCTGATAATCTTCTCCATAACTTTGCATACTATACACGTCAATGACACAGGTCTATAGTTTAGTGCCTCTTTTCTGTCTCCTTTTTTTAAAAATGGGAACTACATTTGCCGTCTTCCATACCTCAGGTAGTTGCCCAGTTTCCAGGGACGTGTTGAAGATTGTGGTAAGTGGCATGCACAACATATCTGCTCCTCTCTAAGGATCCACGGGAGATGTTGTCCGGTCCCATTGCCTTTGAGGTATCGATGTCCCTTAGCAGTTTCTTCACCTCCTCATCATCTGTATGTATGTCGTCCAACACTTGGTGTATTCCTTGCTGTGTCCCCCATCTGTCTGTCCCCCCCAGAGTCCTTCCTGTCTCTACTGTAAATACTTCCTTAAATCTCGTGTTGAGCTCCTCACATACCTCTTGATCGTTTCTTGTGAGTTCTCCACCTTCTTTCCTCAGCCTTATCACCTGGTCCTTGACTGTTGTCTTCCTCCTAATGTGGCTATACAGCAGTTTCGGGTCAGATTTGACTTTCGATGCTATATCGTTTTCATACTGTCGCTGGGCCTCCCTCCTTATCTGTGCATACTCTTTCTGGCTCTTCTACTAATCTCCTTGTTTTCCTGGGTCCTATGCCTCCTGTACCTTTTCCATTCTCTGTTGCACTTAGTTTTTGCCTCCCTACACCTTCGGGTAAACCAAGGACTCGTTTTGGTCTCCTGTTATTTCTGTTTCCCTTGGGAAAAAACCTTTCCTCTTCCTCCTTGCCTTTTTGCCCATATTCCTCATCTCGTTTACTGATTTTCCTCCCATTTCTCTGCCCCACTGAACCCCTGCAGGAATTCCCTCTACCTGGTAGTCCCCCCTTTTATATTTTGGCCTGTCCCCTTATTTCCCTTTCCCTTTCTCCATTGTAAATCTAAATAACAAAACCGAACCGTGAGCTAGCTCCAAGGGGGCCCTCGTAATGTGTCCTTAATGGCTGAAACTGCTCGGTTAACAAAAGATCCAGTCTGGGCTATCTCCCCTCTCTCTCTGGTTTTGTGTCCCTGACATTTGATGCATGAGGTTTTCAAGTACCACATCCACCCATCTTGGCTTCCATGTTTCGGGACCCCCATGTGGCTCCAGGTTTTCCCAGTCGATCTCCCTGTGGTTTGAAATCGCCCATTACCAGTAAACTTTTCTCTGCTCGAGTGAGCTCTTCTTGCCACCTCAGCCAGTGTGTCCACCATCACCCTGTTGTTTTCTTCGTATCCTCTACTTGGCCTCCTGCAGTTTGTGGTGGGTTATACATCACTCCAATGACTACTTTATGATCTCCGGACTGAATTGTACCTACAATGTAGTCTCTTTCTCCAATCATGTCCATGCCTTCCATTTCCTCAAATCCTCATCGGTGTTTTATGAGCAGTGCAACTCCTCCTGTGTGTGTGTGTGTGTGTGTGTGTGTGTGTGTGTGTGTGTGTGTGTGTGTGTGTGTGTGTGTGTGTGGTGTGTGTGTGTGTGTGTGTGATACATTCATGGGAGAATTTTTCATGAGCTGCAGCCAAATTATTTTAATATAACACTTCAAGATTCATCACCTTCCTCCCTACACAACCACATACAGAAAGTAATTATCTTAATTTATTCAGCTTTCTCTCATGGTAATTTATTTATTATTAAATACCTTTAAATTGTAATGAAAAATGCAAATAAATGTAATTTAAAATACATTTAAACTGATGAGGGTAGAAAATATGTTTTAAATTACGAAAATTTGTGTAATACATATAAAATGTAAAATCCTTCACATAAATTTTAATACCTATTTCCTTGAGGGGGTTATTCATCAGGGGATTTATTAATAAATATGTAAGAATCATTGTGTGGTATCATGTACCTGTGACTGTGAATTCTGATTGCTCAATAAGTCCTCGGACAAAGCTGTTCCTAGTTGGCTGGAACTGAAGATGTCACAGATCTTGGCAATCTTTTGCTGTGAGAGAAGCACCTTGCCAGGCTCCACGGACAGCTGGTCAATGAAGAAATCTGACGGATTGAACTGCTTAGGGCAGTGCAGGTTCAAACTGAAACAAAATAATAATCTGAAGAAAAGTTTACGAGTAATTAGGCTCCCAGGAAGATGACCCCTAAATAACAAAAATAAAAAAGGCGCAATACCGTGACTGGAACGATACATAAATAACCCGCACGTAGAAGAGAGGAGCTTACGACGACGTTTCGGTCCGACTTGGACCATTTACAAATTCACACTAACGAAATGAATGAATGAATGAATATACTCTCAGGTAAGACCCACAAGTGGGTGAGTGGGGAAGTGTGGACAGACGAAAAATAGTCGGTGAGAGGAAGGTCTTGAGTTGTAGGTGAAAGAGCCAGGGCGTGGCATTGTGAGGCAGTGTAGAGAGAGCATGTGGAGGGTATAGAGGAGAGAGCAGACTGCAGACAGTACTCACTGGCTCACTTGCCTCAGACTGAGGTGTAGAGCTGGTTTGGCTGGACGTCAGTAGTCGGGAGGCTCAGGTCGTGTGTTGTAGCTGAATGAATTACATATCGAAGTGTGTCGTGTGTTTGGCTACACTTCGTTGATGATAGAGCCGCACTTGAGTCTTTTGAAGTCTATCTTGGTCATGTGGAATAACTAACTTCATTATTGTCTGTGAAGACGATGTTGAGGCCGAAAAACTACTGACCTCCTCTGCTTTGTCCACTCTATCAGACCGTGGCTTCAAAGTCATGTCCTGCCTTACGGGCTAAGAGGACTGTCTTCTTGAAGAGACTTGACAAATTGATTACCATACAACCTGTTGAAGACCTAAAAACCTCCATAGAAGAACAAAATACCTGGGCTACAGTTGAAAGCATCACCAAGATTCCTACTGCCTCCTCCATGCTGAAAATCACTTTTACTGATGTGACAATGGCTGCCCAAGCAATGGCTGAAGGCCTGGCCATATACTATTACTTCATTAACTCCAGTCATATTGAAGCTGAGCGGTACCATCATATTACTCAGTGCTGGAGTTGCTACTCTTACCTACACTCTACAAAAGACTGCCCCACAAAAGGCAGAAAGTTCTGCTCTACCTGCGGGTCTGAAGGCCACGATTCCAAGACTTGTACTTCTACTGCCCCACTTAAGTGTCTCACTGCAAAACAATCACCATACTCTCGCTGCAAAGTGCCCCACTCGTCGTGAAATTCTGAAAAAAAAAAAAAGCTAGGAAGCAGAACAGAAGACACCTTCACAGTCACCTACTTATGCTGCCATCACCAAACTCCAGGCCGACACAACAAAACTTTTAAAAGCTACCCAACCCTCCACCACTACTCCACCAGCTTGTGAACCTACGAAAATTCATTACTGTATGTTATATGCACACATGCATAATATGGCGTTACCAGGCTCCTTCAACACTGTTATTAACGAGCTCTCCCGATTGAACAACATGCCAAACTTTACTTTCCCAGACTCTCCACCATCTGCCGACATCAAGCTCATCAAAGAATTAGGCAACATCACAACACCTGAAATTCCATCTCCAAGAAACAACCAATCAGCGACTTCCAACATCAGCACCGCTGTGGACCAATCACCTGAGTCTTCCACCTCTTCTGCTACTACTAACGAACCGCTGCTTCATATCCAACTCAACCACCAAAAGCCAAGAAAGCTAAGACACTTCCTCCTGAAAATCCACCTCAAGATACTCGAAGACCTAAAGAAATGGAGGAGGAAACAATATTTAGACCAACTGAACCCCTCACCTTCTATACATTTAACCCTCACATCCCTTCGCTATATGCACCTCAGGTCATCTATACCATGCACCATGGTAGTATCAAGTACACTGTTGCTCCTGGATGCGATCCCCACACTGAAACTGCCCTAATTGCAGACTTAGAAAAAGATAGCAAAAATCTGCTCAAACTTACTTTATTATCAAAACCTGCTTTCAAAAGACTTCAAAATGGCTCTACGACAGGAACGAAAAACTAACAAAACGCAGATATGAAGAGTGTTATCCACCAATCAATGCTGATCCTGTCTCCTCTCTACATACTTAACGACCAATCATAATGAAGCATGCCTCCTTCTCCACCCCGCTTCCCGCCGATCTCCAGCAACGCCTACCAGATCTACAGATCAACCACCATGATGCAGCCTGCACAGCTTGCCCACGTCGTCCACATCCTCAGCCAAGTCCTGATCTCTCCAGCTCTATCCCACGATCGCCTCAGCTGATGGGTTAAGCCCTGGCTCGATTTCTACATTCCTTTCCAGTGCTATTCTTCGTCTGTCCCGTCTTTCCCGCTCATCCCATTGGGATCATACCTGAATTTGTTCGTTCGTTCTTTCCTGTCGATCAAAATCGACAATCATCGACCAACGATCTCGTCTATCTAATTACTCCGTGTTAGGAGTGACTGGTTACCGGACCATCGTCTTCACCATCAGGATTGGTGCGTCGGTGGCTGCCACGTCATCGACCAACGATCTCGCCTCTCTAATTACCCCCTGTTGGGAGTGACTTTTCCTCAGAGTGGTGGTTACTGGACCTTCGTCTTCACCATCAAGATTGGTGCGTCGGTGGCTGCCTACCCAAGGGCAGGAAGCCTCCCTCTGCACTCTTGTTGCTGTCTGAAGTCTGCACGCCATACAGCCAGTGTTGCCTCTCCTCACCACTGTCTGAAGTCTCCACGCCTCAACCTGTATGTGTAGTCTGCGCGCCATACAGCTAGTGTTGCCTCTCGCCTCTCCTCGCCGTTCACAGGCAGTGTTGCCTCTCCTCGCCGTTCAGGGCATACAGTGTTCCATCAACCTACAGCTCACCTCAGGGTCCTGCGCCTCCAGAAAACTTTAAAGTAATAGCCAGGCAAGTACGTGTGTCTATTTCACACGTACTTGCCTAGCCGAGTATTCTCACGGATTTCACCGCCACAACTGATTTTTCATCTTTACGATGCCTTCAATGTCTTCCACCTCCTTCTTCCCTACCACTCTCCCTCTACAGCCCACTTCTACCTCTACCCCATCTACTCCTGCCTCTGCCTCTGCCTCTTCCAAACCTGCCCTAAACTCTCTCATACCTGCCCTAAGCTCTCTGGGAGTTAGCATGGGGTGTTACCAAGCACCATGGCTTGTTGTAGTGTTTTGGAATCTCAGGTTCAGGTGTTGAAGAAGGAGGTTCTACTTCTTCAGGAGGAAAATAGGAGGTTGAAGCTTTGCCTAGATATGTTTGAGAGTGAGTGTGAGAAGGATTTAGCTGGAATGGAGGAAATGGTCACCAGCAGTGATAGTGGCAGCCGCTTTAAGTGGCAAGTGGTTCACAGTTCAGGAGGAAGGAAGATAAGGAGGGTTAACAGAGAAGATGTGAAGGTAGGAAATCGATTCTCTGTTCTCCAGGAAGAGTGTACTTCAGTGGTTAGTGAGGTAGAAGGTACCACTGATTCCCCTGCTAATCAAGGTAAGAATGTTTTAATTGTAGGAGATTCTCAGGTAAGATATATGGACCGTGCATTTTGTAACAAAGACAGAAAGGTCAGACAGAGAGTGTGCCTTCCTGGAGCTGGTGTTGGTGACACAGTCAACAGGTTGGATAATATTATGTCAGGTAATGGGAACAAGCCCATTATCTGTCTTAGTGCTGGGGGTAATGACACTGGGAAGGGCAGGAGACAGGAGCTGCTGAATAAGTACAGGTCAGCCATAGAAGTAGTTAGGTCTAAAGGAGGGATCCCAGTCATGTGTAGCATCTTGCCTAGAAAGGGAGTGGGCAATGAATGGATGTCTAGGGCAATTGGTATAAATTGCTGACTAGACAGGTACTACAAGGAACTTGCAATCCCATTCACCGATAACTGGGACTTATTCTATGGCAAACATGATAGGTATGCAAGGGATGAGGTTCATCTCTCTGGGGCTGGAGTGGTTGCATTAGCCAATTCAATTGAGGGGGTAACTGATGACTTGTCTAGGACTTTAAACTGATAGAATATAGAGGTATGGGTGTTTGTGGGAAACAATCAGGCTGCATTATTAGGGTTGAAAACAGCAGATATTACCGGGATATCTTGGGGATATGTTTAAAAGACAATATTCAAAATAAAGTTGCTAGTAAAGGCAAATCACTTGATCAACAAACAAAGAGATATAATAGAAGGCAACGAGTGACTAGCTCCCTTAAGGTTTACTATACAAATAGTAAGAGTCTAAGAAATAAGATAGATGAGCTAAGATTACTTGCAAGTGTAGGTAATATAGATATTATTCGTATAACAGAGACCTGGTTCAACCTGAAAGATAGAGAAATGCCTTCTGAATGCAACATACAGGGTCATAAACTATTCCACACTGATAGGGTCAACAGGAAGGGTGGTGGAGTGGCACTGTATTTCAGAGATAATTTTAATTGTTGCCTTAGGCATGATATAAGATTAGAAACATCGAACACAGAATCTGTTTGGATACAGTTTCTCGAGGTCGTGAAAAGTTAATTTTGGGTGATTTATAGGCCCCCAAACCTTGATAGGGAGTACAGTAAGCTGTTATGGGACGAAATTCATAAGGCATCTAGATATGAAAATGTTGAGTTAATAGGAGATTTTAACTTTAGACAAATTGACTGGAACAATATGACAGGAAATCTTGAGTCTAGTGACTTTCTTGATGCGGTTCAGGATTGCTTTTAGAACAATCTGCTTGACTTGGTTCTTGCCAACAAAGAATCACTAATTAATAATCTTGAGGTTAATGATGAGCTTGGGGAATTACCCAGATAACTGCAATCAAATCTCCATTCCAGACTTTCGCTTGGCCGATTTCATGGGACTGAAAAATTACCTGGGTGGGCTAAATTGCGATGACCTGACTATGGGTCAGGTACGTGATCTTGGATGCCAATATGACGTGTTTCAGAGCATAATTCTAGCTGCCCAGACAACTTTTGCTCCGAGTAGGGAACTTAGATCTAACAAAAATGATCCCAAATGGATGAACAATTGATTAAAACATCTCATTGGTCAAAAGAGAGGCATGTATAGGCGTATCAAAAGAGGGAATGGG